AAAAGGACAAATATTGTATGATCCCACCTATATGAAGGATGTAAATTAGTGAATTCATGGAAACAGAAGTAGAACAGTGGTTACCAGGGGCTTCGGGTTGGTGGGGAGGGGAGTTTCAGTTTGGGTTGATGAAAACTTCAACAATGTAACGCCACTGAATTTTACACTTAAAAATGGTTAAAGTGGTAAACCATAAGTACAAATCGTCCTTGATTTATGATGGTGTTATTATGGCCCAATAAACTCGTAACAGGTTAGAAATATCGTTACGTCAACATAATACACCTAATCTATCATATATTATAGCTTAGCCTAGCCTACCTTAAACATGCTCAGAACACTTAACATTAGCCTAGTTAGACAAAATCATCTAACACAGAGCCTATTTTGTAATGAAATGTTGACTACCTCATGTAATTTATTGAGTACTCAAAGTGAAAAACAGAATGGTTACACGGGTACAGAACGGTTTTAAGTGTATCAGTTGCTTACCCTCGTGACTGAATGGTTTACTGGGAGCTGCAGCTTGCTGCCCAGCATCACAAGAGAGTACTGTACCACACAGGCTAGCCTGGGAAAAGATCAAAATTCAAAGTACAATTTCCACTGAGTGTATCACTTTTGTACCGTACCCATCGAAAAATCCTAAGTCAGACCACCATAAGGTGGAGACCATCTGTATATATTTTACCACAATAAAAAAAAAATTAATCAACATACTTAACCATATTCAGAGAATAAAAAAGAAAAACCAGGGACTTCCCTGGTGGCGCAGTGGTTGAGAGTCTGCCTGCCGATGCAGGGGACACAGGTTCGTGCCCCGGTCTGGGAAGATCCCACATGCCGCGGAGCGGCTGGGCCCGTGAGCCATGGCCGCTGAGCCTGCGCTCCGCAACGGGGAGAGGCCACAACAGTGACAGGCCCGCGTACCACAAAAAAAAAAGAAAAAAAGAAAAAAAGAAAAACCATGTGATTGTTTCAATAGGTACAGAATAAGATTTGAATAAATTATACCCATGATTTCAAAAAAACCTCTCAGCTAATTAAGAACAGAATTTCCCCTGTGTGATATGAAAAATCTACAATTCTGAGTATTGAAATGCTGGACATTTCCCCCCTAAAATTGGGAAGGAGGCAAGGATGTCTACTCTCAACAATTCCATTCAAAATTTTATTAAAGGTCCCAGTTGGTGCAATTAAAAATAAGAAATGCAAGGTACAAAAATTGAAAAAGAAGTAAAACTGTCCCTATTTGCAAACAAAATGACTATGCATGTAGAAGATGCAAAAGAATTAACAAAAAGATTATGAATCTTTACATTTAACCAGGTCTCAAGATACCAAATCAATATACAAAATTCATTGTATGTCTATGCACTAGCAACAAACGAAAACGAAAATTTAAAAACAATTCCATTTACAACTGCATCATATAACATATTTAGTAATAAATTTAACCAAAAAAATGCAAGACCTCATCAAAAACTATAAAACATTGCTGCGATAAAGATAACTTAATAAGTGAAGAGATGTCAAGCTTCAAGATTGTCAAAATGTTACTTCTCCTCAAAGTAATCTATAAATTCAACACAATCCCAATCATAGTCCTAGCATAATTATAATGTTTTTATATAAACTGACAAGCTCATTCTGAAATTAATAATGAAAACAAAGGTCCTAGAATAGACAAAACAATTTGGGAAAACAACAAAAGCTTGAGAATTTACATTAACTAAATTTGGGACTTACTCTAAAGCTATTCAGTGGTTCTCAGTTGGAGGCAATTTTGCACCTCAGGGGACATTTGGCAATGTCTAGATACATTTTTGGTTTTCACCATGGGTAGGATGCTACTGGGATCTAACAGGTAGAGGACAGGGATACTACTAAAATTCTATAATACGCGAGACAGCCCCACAACAACCTGGCCCAAAATTTCAATAGTGCCATAACTGGGAAACCCTAAACTACAGTAGTCAAGACAATGTGGTATTGACATCAGGATTTTCAAACAGATTAATAAAACAGAATACAGATTCCAGAAGATGATCCCCCTAGGTCAACTGTCTGACAAAGGCAACAAAGCAATTCAATGGAGAAAAAAAGTGTTTTCAACAAAAGGTTCTAGAACAAGATAGCCATAAGTAAAAAACTGAACTGTGATTCCCACCTCACACCATACATGTCATTAGTTCATGATGGGTCATATACCTAAATAAAAGCTAAAATGATAAATTCTAGAAGACAACATATCTTCACAACCTAGCAAAAGTACTATCTGTGAAAAGACTTAAAAGCAAAATATATAATAGAACTAAAAGATCTCTACAACTCAATAAAAACTCAACCCAATTTAAAATATGGACAAAAAACTTGAACAGTCATTTCACAAAAGACAACACACAAATGGCTAACAAGCACACGAAAAAAGTAGTCAATACCAATATTCATCACAGAAATACAAAAGTAAAACCAGAAAGAGAAATACAAATTAATTCCACAAACTACATACCCATTAGGAGGACTAAAATTTACAAGGCTGAAAACGAACAACTGTTGGTGAAAATATGAAATGACCCAAACTCTCACATATTGCTAGTGGGTAGGTAAAATGTTACAAAAGATCTAGCAATTTCTCATAAAGTTAAGCATACACTTAGCCTATGACCCAGTAATTCTACTCCTAGGTATTTACCCAAGAGAAATAAAAACATACCTCTACAAAAGGCCTCATGTAAGAATGTTCTGCTTTATTCATAATAGCAAATATGTCTGTCAACAAGTGACACACTGTGGTATATTCATACAACAGACTACTACTCAGCAATAAAAATACTGATACCTGCAACAACCTAAAATAATCTCAAATATTATGTAAAACAAGCCAGCATAAAGAGCATGTACTGTATGATAGCATGTATATCCAATCACAGAGCAGGCAAAAGTCATCTATGGTTTAAAAGAAAAAAGGAAAAGAACAGCAGATGCCTTGGAAGGGCAGGGGGTGGGGGGGTTGCAGGGAGAAGACATGAGTGAGGAACATGGGAATCAAGTGGAAAGGTTCACTATGGACATTTCTGGGATGACAGAAATGTCCAATCTCTTGAGTGAGGAATCTTACATGATATAAACATTTATCAAAATAAGCAGTTTTGTGCATTATGTAACTTTATTTAAGAAAAATCTAGTAGGGGTGGTGAGTAGATAGTGGTAATATTGAAATAAGAAATAAAAGAATTGTTGAACCTGAGTGACACACACATGGAGGTTCCCTATACTATTTTTGAAATTTTCCATAATTAAAGGTATTTAAAAAATAATTTCTCTTAATTCTCCCTCAGTGTAGGAAGAGAACTGGTAATCACTGTCCATGATATAAACTACAATCTCTTACTAAGGAATGCTCTAAATTTTCTTTTTTATGCTGAATATATACAGCATATATATACTCCTTTACACTTTCTTTAATCTTATTCATCATAGTTACAGCTCACCTTGAAATGTGTTCATATTTTCCATATTTGATTTATTTACTACTACCTGTAGGGAGAAAACACTCCTTTTGCCCCTACTACCTGATAGCAATATGCTACCTACTTTGAATACATTACCCAACTTAAATCCCAAAGTTGAATTTAGCATCTAGAATTTTAATCTTATTTACTTATTAATTACCTCTCTCTCATGAAAATTCATGTGCAATGGCAAACAAGGATCTTATCCTATTCACTACTTCTTCAGACATGGCACATAAAGGATACCCAGTGAATATGTGTAAATCAAAGCATTAAGGAATATAATATCAGAGCTCACAAATACACAGTTTAGCTCTCTTTTTGACAGTACAAATCACTTCCCACTCCAGTTATATCCAGCTTATTTTGCCTTTTATTGGCTTTTACATCAACTGCTATGTCTTTGTTTCAAGTGGAATAGAATATCTGTGTTTCAGAACTTCACATTTCCTCTATCCAAAAATACAATCATAAAATATTTAAACACAGTTGATTTAATGTATATATATTACACTATATTAAATGATGTGATTTCTTTTTCTGCTCTTATTCATATGGATAAAGAAAAAAATCATAGTATTTTGAGAGTCTCAAATTCTGCTAACATCACAATTAAAGCTGAAAAACCCTAGCAAATATTGAGAATTGAGAGTTCCTTACATAGGGATAAAATGCAGTTAAGTATAGATTTATTTTTCTTTTTTTTTTTTAAGAATAGATTTTTAACAAAAACAATGATCAAATTTACTTGAAAAGCATTTACCTAACAAAGAGAGCATCTATATAAGCTTAAAATCAAATTGTTAGTTCCCTTCAGTGAAATACAGGAAATCTAGGTTTGTTCTCAGAGTATGTGTTTCAGTAAACATTTGGAGCATGGTTTATGAGCAAAACTATCAATATCTTAAATTAGGATTAGTTTCACCTCAATTTTGAATTTTTTTTTCATTCTTGTTTTTCATTCTCAAATATCCTCAAAACATCCATAAAGTTATAAAAGAAGAGGGGAAGGACAAACATTATTAGTGGTATCATAAAAAACAAAAACTGAGAAAAATAACTACTAATGACATCAAGTTAGTTTTTGAAACCAAGATTTTTCCTCATTAGTTATGCAAAATACTACCCAAGAAGTTGGTAGTTGCAATTTTTCTCTGACCAAAAAAATCTGAAAAACTATTTTTGAACATTCTAAGGGAGAAAGCAAGAGAGAAGTAAACATCAGGAGAAACAGAAATAAAATCACTCACAAAGAATGACATTACACATACAAAATTTTATTATTTAAAAAACAGGTCACAAGTATCTTACAAATATTGTTCGCCATAGATTCCAATCCAAGTTCTTCCAGATGCCGTTCTATGTTCATAGATTATATATAACTTGAAAAGCATTTACTTTAAATGTACCAAATGCAGCAAAAGACTTAAAAATAGAAGTTTTAAAGCAAATACTCATTTAGAGACACCAGCAAATAGATCTGACCTTTTCAAGTGGCTTTCCCAAAGAGTTTCCAATCAGTTTCCAGTCATTCAAGACTTCTTCAATTTTGGAAATAAACCTAGGAAAGAGGAAAAAACTTTCTAAATATGTAACCACATTTTTTCCTATTGTTATATAATTCCTTTAAAAGTTTTTTTTAATATTTTAACACTTTCAACAACGCTGACTAGCAACATGCTCAATTTCAGCAAATGAACACCGTCACATCTCAGTAGCAGTGTTCAATACATATTAAAGGACACTGTCAGAAGACCTGTTATTACTCTAATAAGCTGCCTTCTTACACTGTATATGTATGATGCAATCTAACAGCAACACGGCTCTCCTAAAACACTTACATAGTATTGCTAGAGTGCTAGAGTACTAGAGTTAATTCTAGTCAAAATATATTCAAAAGTAACAGGTTTTTCCTGTCAGTGACATTATAAATTATTTATTTACATTCTTGGTGTAACGGTAGTAATGGGAGTTTTTATGATTCAACTGAACCTTCTAATTACCTCCTCTTTAAAATTTAAAAAAAGATATTAATTAATACAATATTTTGAGGGTGTTAAAATGGCAATTATCAGTTTTTATGAAGAGTGCTCTAGAAATAAATAAACACGTTTGCAAAAAAAGAACTAAAAAATTTAAATGTAGGCATACGTGAGCAAAAATCTGTATGTGAAATACACATTACATTTATAAAGGTAAAAAACTAGAAACTGCCTTAAAGTCCAACTGCAGCAACCAGCTGTAAATTAATGGTACATCCATTCAAAGGACTAATATGCACCCATTAAAAATCATGTTTTGAAGCCCATTTGAGGAAATAAGATAATGTCCATATGTTAGATGAAAAAATGGAAGCTATAGAAATAAATATTGGGACTTCCCCAGTGGCGCAGTGGTTAAGAATCTGCCTGCCAATGCAGGAGACACAGGTTCGAGCCCTGGTCCAGGAAGATCCCACATGCTGCAGAGCAACTAAGCCCGTGTGCCACAACTACTGGGCCCACGTGCCACAACTACTGAAGCCTGCATGCCTGGCATCCGTTGCCCGCAACGAAAGAAGCCACCGCACAGAGAAGCCCGCATGTCACGACAAAGAGTAGCCCCTGCTCGCCACAACTAGAGAAAGCCCACGCATAGCAACGAAGACCCAACGCAGCCAAAAATAAATAAATTTTAAAAAATGATTTTAGAAATAAATATTAATACAGTTTAACACAAAAAGTTTACAACACACAGATTACAAGGAATTTTCTCAAAATATTAACCGTAGCTATCTCCTGCTGGTAGGATTACAGGTGATTTTTCTTTCTTTTTTATTTTATAATGATGTATTATAATAAAAATAATTTAAAATAATACAGCTTTCACGGTAAAAGAAGGAACATCTTAAAATATTCATTGTATGAATCCTATCAGTACTAAAACAAACCAAAATAGGACTCTATCCTGTAAGTATTGATATTTGATTAGAAAAATGTAATAACTTTATCCCTGAAAGCTCTCCAGATCTCACCTGAAGAGTCACTTCCTCTTACTTCTCATTCTGTATTACGTTTTTTTGTTATATGCTCTTAAAAGACCAGGTTTCTTTCTCTTCTCAGTATTTCAATTGTAATTACAGGCTCCTGTACTATTATTTGATTCATATCTATCTATTCCATTAGTCTGTACGTTCAGCAAGAGCAGGAACCATATGCTTTCACTGACCACCACATCCCTAATGCCCTGCACTGTGCCTGACACATGGGTACTCAGTATTTTTTCAATTGACAAGGGATAAAAAGAGTTATTGGCTTCTCTCAATAAACTGTCCATATGGCTCATAACATACTGACAAGAAATTTCATTCAAACATTAAACTCAAGGTTTAAAAGACTCCAAAGTCTTAACATTTTCCCACAAACTGTAAAACACTGGTTTTACTCTAGAAACAAGAGCTTAAAAGTCAAAACTCAAAGTTCCTACTTTGTGGTAGTTTTCAAAGCTGTGTTAACAATTACTTCCAAATAAGGAGCTAAAGGATTTAACAGTCCACTTCAGGATACTTTAAATATTTAGCTAGTGGAAAGTAATCATTTTTCCATTAAATATTCTTGTTTCCTCTTGTTTCCTCATCCCACTCTCCAAGATTCAAATTACATTTTCTAACTACCTTTAAGACATTAAGTTATTATTTCAAATTCAACAGGTCTAAAACTGGATTCTTCTCACTTTGCCACTTTCGTATCTTCATTCTCTCAGGCAAGAAACTGCATTTCCACGGTTTTTTTTTTCTACTTGTACATTTCATCAAGCCTATCATCGACTTCTTTGAAATGTCTAACAATCTTCCCTCCTAGCCTCTCTCTTCAGTCTCCAAATCAACAACCTAATCAAAGTAACTTCATTTTACCTCATCTCCTCAAACCACTCTCATATCACTTTGCCACTTTAAAATCAAGGGTCCCTCACTACTGCTCTTTAATGTTCTAAAGTGTGGTCTCCTGACCAGCAGTAGCAGCAGCATCACCTGGGAGCTTGTTAGAAATGCAAATTTTTGAATCTCAGGCATACAGAATCATCAACTATGATTCTGACGCACACTGAAGTTTGAGAATCACTGGTCTTAAAGCACCAAATTTAGATTCCTTTACTTAGCTTTGGAAGCTATCTATAACCTGGTCCTATCCTCCTTAATAATCTTGTTTACTTCCCTTCAACAAACAGCCTTCACTCCAGTAAAGACATTTCATTAAATCCCAAAGGTTTTCACCTGTCTCTGTTCACGTCAGGGCCTTCTCGTATTTAACCAATTACTTTCCACTTTCCAGGCCCAGCACATTTCCTATCTTTTCTATGAAAATACCTCCAACAATTATAATCCACAGCAATAGCATCCTTAAAGTAATTTAACTATTTGCTGTTTTGTTTTTTTAACACATGGAAAAAGAGTTTTGTTTTGGCTTTGTTCTTCTCTGTTAGTATAGTTCTGAACACACAGTACTTGCTCAATAAAGCCTTGCCACTGTGCTTGTGTCTTACCGACTTTTTGGGGGGGGGGGGGCGGGGGAAGGGACAACAGGTCAAACAAGTAGCCCAGCAGGGATCTCTTCTATGCCGTTTAATGACATGACATTCACATCCAGATGGATTTCCTCTCCCAACCAGAAAGATTATAAAATGTTCCAACAAGCTAACTACTGACCTCAACACTCAGAAAACCTGAAGGGCCTCTGGGACATCAAACTGATAACACCTGGATCCAAGCTATCACTCCTCCCCAAACTTGGCCTTCAACTAATTCCAGCGATCCTACAGTTTCACGTAGCTGTTTCAACTGGGAGTTTAATGGCACCGGAAGCCTGGGCCCATTACCCACTGAAATGGAACAACTCGAATCAAAGCGTTCCCAAGCCAGACGCGGACTATTTCAAAAGGTTATTCTAAAAGACAAGATGGAGCTGGTGGGAGTGGCAGACGGACAACCACCAGGACTCTGAAGAAAGGCCTCCTCCTAAAAAGGACGTACACGGCAAGATGAAAAAAGCACCTGCGAAGTTTATTGCTCACTATAACAAAATGACGTACACGGAAAGGAACGCAGGAACGGCAGCGGTAGCCTGGGAACTGTTTCTAGAGAACCAAAGGTCTAAGGAGAGTGGCCGGAGAGCGGAGAAAACTAAACTCCTCCGGGGTTTGGCTGATGTGGGCGGGCCGGGGCTGGTCAGACGCGAGACGCAGAAGAGGCTTCTGGCCGACCACAGCAGCGAGGAGGCGGAGACCCGGACACCCATGGGTCTTACTATTCCCGCAGAAGTGGCGTCTGGGTTGGGGGAGTCTATGCTGGGGGAGTAGCGGGGGGAGACGCCGGGTCCCAAAGTGCTGGTAACCAATGATAACGACTCACCTTTCCCATTCCGAGGCAGTGGTGAAGTCCGTGATCTCAAATACCTCGGACTCGGGCTGTGGGAAGTGAAAGGAAAGAAAGAGATTGAGCTCCGGGGCGCTGACACGGAGGAGCAAACTTATACAGAGACAGGGATACGGAGGGAGTAAACACCTCACCTCACTGTCGGCCGCCATCTTGAAGAGCGCCGAGGCGGGCGCTAGGGCTGCCGGGAAGAAGAGCCGGAGGGCGGGGGGCGGCGGCGGGGAGGAGAGCCGAGAGCTGGCGGAGGCGGGGAGGGGAAGGGCGGGGCCTCCGCGCAGCCCCGCCCTCGGAGTCCCGCTAGGAAAAATCTCAGGTTGAAATCATTTGATTTTTCTTTTTTAATGTTTTTTGTTCCTGAGGAGGAAGAATTTACTCTGCCCTCAAGTCCCCGTTCTTTGGCTGATTTAATACAATTTAAAATTTTCCTGTAGAGCAATGAATTCAGGAAAGGAACAGAAGCAAAGAGGTAAGACAAGGCCCTAGACCCATGTGGGTACCAGTGTATTAAAAAACCTAAAACACATCGCTTGTGTTTCTGTTTTTCTTTCCACCTCTGTTGATTGATTGCAAGGCACTGAGCTAGATGCCATAATATCCACCCTCCCTTACCCCTACCCCTCAGAGAGTTTAGTTTGGGTAAGTCATCAAATAAAATCATTATGCTATTTATCTGGTTTCTGAGAAGAGCAACATGCTGTGCAATGAACACAACACTTTTTAAGTCACTGAGGAACAGAAGGAGTGCCAGCTAGCATTTAGTAATTATATCTCATACATTCTGAAATATTTACAGAGGAAATCATACCATGTCCAGGATTTGTTTCAAAATGAGGGGAGGGAGGAGTGGATAGAGCTAGAAATAAAACAAGATTAGCCATGAGTGGATTATTGTTTAAGCTGCTGATGGTTACCTGGGTATTTATACTATCCCCTACTTCTGTTAGGCCTGAAATTTTTCGTAATTAAAAGCTTTTTAAAAGTTTTTTAAAGGGCTTCCCTGGTGGTGCAGTGGTTAAGAATCCGCCTGCCAATGCAGGGGACACGGGTTTGATCCCTGGTCCAGGAAGATCCCACGTGCCATGGAGCAACTAAGCCCATGTGCCACAACTACTGAGCCTGCACTCTAGAGCCCACAAGCCACAAGTACTGAGCCCGTGTGCCACAACTACTGAAGCCTGCAGTCCTAGAGCCCATGCAGTTCAAGAAGAGAAGCCACCACAATGAGAAGCCCATGCACCTCAACAAAGAGTATCCCCCGCTCGCCACAACTAGGGAAAGCCCATGCATGGCAACAAAGACCCAATGCAGCAAAAAATAAATAAATTAAAAAATAAAGTTTTTTAAAGTTTTTTAAAAATTAAATCTCATTTATTGATTTTCTGCAACTCACAAGAAGGGATTCGTGGGTAGAGGACTCAGAAATACAGCTTTAGCAATTAAAATTTTTAATCTTAAGAGCAAGAGATATCAAAAATTTAGTGATGTAGATGATGCAGATGAGTTAAATTAGGTCAGAAGAATTTGATAATTATTGCCAGTGCCAAGACTTGAATCCCTGTCTCTTAATATTCTTTCTAGTTTCTGTTCACTACACTAGTGGGAGTTGGGGGTTACTACTGCAGCAATCTTTCCCAAGAGGTCTGAACTTCCACCTTCATTCATTTATAAGCATTTATTAAATACCTACTATAAGCCAACCATTATGGTAGACGGCAGGGAAATGAAGACATACGGCAGATACAATCCCTGATTTCAAGGAACTCAAGATCAAGTAGGGAAACTGGAAATTACTGCACAAACAGAAAGAGGAGATGCTACATGTATCAGTATCACTGTTAGCAACGTGGAGGTCATTGGTGACCTTCACAAGAAGAATCTTGGGGGCCAGCTGAAGGATAAGGTGGAGGCAGCCAGGTTGGGGGCAGGGAAGACTTTTAAGGACAGAGAATAGCATATCCAGAGGCTTAAACGTAGGAAAGTCTGATCTGTCTAGTGAACTGAAAGAGGACACTTAGAGCACAGTGGTTGCAATGAAGTTGGAGAGGTAGGCATGTGCCAGACCGTATAGGGCCTTCTGTATGGCCCTTATGTGAAGCACAATGGACCTCACTAAAATGTTTTAAGCAAGAGAGTATTGTGATCCAATTTACATTTTGCAAAAATCTGGATGCTACAGGAACGGATTGGGGAGGGGGACAAAAGAAGAAATAGGAACAGCTCGTGACTATTAAAACATCCAAAGAGAGGTGGTGTGGAGGCTTTGACTAGGGGGGTCAGCAGACAAGGTAAACTGATTTGATATGTATTTTGGAGAAACAATAGACAGGACTTGATGATGGATTAAATGCAGGGATAAGGGAAAGGTAGGAATCAAAGATATTTTGCAAGATTCTGGCCTAAGCAACTGTGTGAGGATGATGCCATTTTCTGAGATGAAGATGGGAAGGAGCAAGAAAATTAGAGTTTGGTTTGGGAAGCGTTAAGTTTGACATGCTTGTAAGATATTCAAGGGGAGCTGTAAAGGAGAACATTGGGTGTAAGAATAGAACTCAGAGGCAAGATCTGGGGTAAAGATATGCACTTGGGAGTATTTTAAATCACAAGAACAGATGAGAAGACTTAAGAGAATATAGAAAGAAGAAGAGGAGCCTCATAAAAAGCTTGAAGAAATTTTGTATTTAGAGAATGGATAAAGGAAAGTATATAGTGAGAGAGGAAAGGAGTGGGTAGAGAAATAGGAAAACACGGAAAGAGTAATGGCATAGACTCGAGAAAGGAGAATGTTTCGGGATGGTAAATATTGACTGCTGCTAGGACTTCTCTGGTGGTCCAGTGGTTAAGACTCTGTGCTCCCAATGCAGGGGTCGCAGGTTTGATCCCTGGTCAGGGAACTAGATCCCGCATGCTGCAACTAAGAGCTCGCATGCTGCAACTAAAGACCAGGCGCAGCCAAATAAATAGATAAGTAAATATTTTTTAAAAATATGTTGATTGCTGTTGATAAAGCAGGTGAAAGAGGAATATAAGGTCAAGGGTGATTGTTGGTGTTGTTTCTTGGGTTTTGTTTGTCTTTAAGGTAGAGGATAGTGGCTATGTTTGTATGCTGATTCGAATAATCTAGGAGCATGAGAGAGAGATTGATGATGGAGGGGAGATGCAAGACTGAAGTTCTTCATAAAGTGAGAGGCAGGAAATCCACAGAGCTGGCAGTCACACAACCCCAGGGGGCAGCATTCACATGGCATGCTGAAGTCTTGCTTCAGGAGGTGCCACCCACAGAAAGCACCTTGTGGACAGCGCTGCCTGGAGTTGTGGAGCAAGGTGGTACCAGGAATTCGGAGCACATGTAGCAGGAGGGAAAGGATATGTTGTGAGGTTGGCTTTTCTTGAGAACGGAAAGAAGGGAGGAAAAAGCTGGAGACAGACATAGACATTGGGACAGTGGTACATATGAAAGGAAAAGAGCTGTTCACGTAAAACTTTTTAAGGTTCTCTCCAAGTGAAATAAGTTTGCAGGTTTTAAGGTCAAACAAATCCAGGTTCAGCCATTTACTAACTATATGACATTGGGCAAATTACATAACTCCTCTAAACCTCAGTTTCTTCATTAGTAAAATAGGATTTGTAATACTCCTTTACCGCATAGGACTGTGGCAAAGATTAAGTTCTCTGTACATATGTAGAATGGTTAGCACAATGTCCTGTAGTAAGTGATCAATTATGATAGTAGCAATTATAATGAATGCTTTATATAATGAAAGCCATAAAGTGCTACTCACGTGTAAGGCACTACTCTTTTTCCCTGCTTGCTTAACCATGAAGAAGTTTCTGTACATACCAAAATCAGAAACTAAAAAAGCCACAAACACTTTGCTGCATGAGGTTAAATTTCAGAAACTGTATGAAACAGCCTGATCAGGTTGCTAGGTAAAGTTTTCTTCCAAGATATTTTTGGTTCCTTATCTCCTCCCTGGAGAAACTTTTAAAATAAGTTATTTGTTAAAGTGAAGTGTGAAGCCAGGATGCTAATAATGTAAAGTACTCTGGAGAGACACGCTTTTATTAGATTTTCACTGGTTCACAAAGCAGAAAAGATTTTGTTTCTTCAGTATTAAGAGCTATTTTGCTACAAGTCCAAAGGCAAGGGCTTTTCCATGCAAGTGTACTCCCTCTCTGGCTTAACTTTCACTTATTTCAAGGTGTTACCAATAATGGCCCCGGGGAGAATTTTGACGCATAGGCAATTTAAGAGATTAGAAGCCTGGAAAAGTCACCCTAGGCTTAGTCCCCAGAGGAATGTAGGGGCATCACAGTTTAATTAGGTCTTAGTGAGAGAAGCAACAGCTGTGGGATTACACCATCCTCACCTGCCTTGATGCCCTCAGTGCAAAGAGAATCAGGAATTTTCAACAATACAGCTGTGAGACCAGTTGCAATAGAAGGTACAGCTGGAAGAGGAAGACACAATATGAGAACAGAATATGAGAAATTCTCTAAATCAAAGTTATGAAAATTGTCAGCATTTATTCATTCATTAATTCAATAATATTTATCAAGTAGCCACTGTCATGGCATGTCATGGTCAATTGTAAGGAGTGATTCAAAGAATAATAATCCCTGCCCTCAAGGTGTCCACAGTCTGAGATAAGACATGAAGAACTATAATATGATTTAGAAAGGGATGCATGATGATTATCCAACTTCTTAAAGCTCTTTGTAAAATTAGTAGTGGGAAAATAATCAAGTGACCTTTCTGAACACACACACGCAATATCATATATCCTAAATAAGTAGTCCACTATTTCTTGAACTAGAAAGAGGTACACTCACCAAGGCAGGAATCTCCAGAGAATTTCAGGAGAAGTGATTTAAACCTTCCTTCACTCACCATTCATTCACTCCTTCCTTCATTCAATAAACACCTGTTAAAAGCAGCTGTTAGGTGCCTGGTGCTGTTTTAGAAAATGGGAAATGAAAACTTAAAAACAAGGTGCCTGCCTTTAGGAAGTTTCAAGTATAAATTAATTGAAGGCCTTCTAGATGATAATAAGTCAAGAACAGCTAGTTCTAATTCCTAAAGTTGTAACTTAACTTCTCATCTGGTAGATCCAGCAAGGACACTACCTGTTGCCAGGTTGATTTAGTTTGCCCAAGTTAATGTTTTTCTATTTAAAATATTTTAAGGTTAAT